GTGTAAAAAAAAAAAGTTCAAAATCTTACGTATTAGCGTCCTTACTCATTATGTTTGCATATTACATTGATGTGCTAAAACACCATATGATCGAACAATAGATTAATTAAATTCGACTTCCTGTTGCCACCCTGGCCCGCCTACAGATTTAGATTCATTTAATATCCACTATAACTACGTACTATGAATTCATAAATGAAACCAAAGTCAATAAACTGTTTTAAGAATTAGATGGGAAAATAATAATCCATGGAAGTTAAAATTGGAGGTGGTGTATTTACTAAATATCGACTGAAGACAAACTTAGTAGTCTTATATTTGCGCTCCAATAGCCTGTGCAATTCGTAGATAAATGTTATTGATCAGCGGTTCTTACGTTCAAACCATGCAAATGAGTCCTTCGGCAACTCATTTTAGTCACTTTGTAGAAACAATGCTTGACTGCAATACTTGCTTATCATCCATGAAGATTTTGAACGAAAGTCATTTACGAGTAACAAAAAGGTCTGTACTTGAGGAGCATTCATTTTCAAAGGGGATATTTTAATTAATATCGCTACCCTATCTATTGTTCTTTCAGTCTTCCCAGTGGTAGAACTTTATTTTGARTAAATATACAAATAAGAAAATATACAAATATCCTTCTTTTTTGGCTGTGTAAAAATATGATGACCCTCGACTAGATTCATTCTTACTGTCTGAAATGAAAAGGTCGAAAAAGTCGAAAAATGATCCCATWACGAGTACCTATTTAGGATTTTCTTTTATGGCACACTCAAAAAAAAAGTGTTTTCCATAGCAACTTCAGTCATACTTAATGTTATTTGTGTTGCTCCTCAACCAATTAGAATCGAGTAATTTTATGGAATTTTCTATGTATGAAACTGAATACGCCCGCACCAATATTAATAATCAATAACTAAACCACTTCTGTTGAACCACTTAAACGATATTAGCATTTTTAATGCTGCTTGKATTAATGCTTGGATTAAATTTCAAAGTCCGTGTTTGATGGTCTTGGGGATTTTTTTGCAAGGAAAAATTGACACAAAAATATTAAAATTCAACAGTAAAATGCRTTATATACATGGTACTATATAGACTGATATAAAAAGAGAAATCAGTAAATAAAGCCCAAAAACCTTATTGAAGCGTTTGTTGTTTTGTTATAAACAGTTCTTCAGTACAATACTTCTTTCATACGAAGAAACTCGTAAAAYATTCATGATCAAGAATAGTGGCTTTTAAGTTGGCTAAATGGTCTTAAACGGTAACTCAAAATGAAGATTTAAGAAGGAAATTCCAAAGTTTTTTCCCTCTAAATTATATGAGATGAAAAAACAAAGTCGTTTTTGGTTTTTCTTACAGAACCACCTCAGTTTTTACCCTAAAATAGCTCTGAGGAGGAAAAATGAGGAAGAGATTTGATGATAGCATTGTTCTAAACTTGCAACATTTATATTATCAGGTTGATTTTTTAAACAAATAAATAATTTTTCACATCAAGCAAACAAATAGTATAAACTGAAAGTAATGCTCGAAAATTAAAAATGGAGAGAAACTTCCTTCATAGGAAGTCAAAGTGTTGTGCAATTCAGCGTTAATCTCCTAATTCAGTTTGTCCAACATTTAATATTAAAAACGATATGGAGAAAGACAGGGACGGAGAAAGAGAAAGGTAGAGAAAGGAAGAGAAAGACAGAAAGACACCATAGAAAAAGACAGGGACGGAGAAAGAGAAAAGACAAGAAAGGAAGAGAAAGACAGACAGACACCATAGAAAAAGACAGAGACGGAGGAAGAGAAAGGAAAAGAGGCACACACAGAAACATGGAGAAAGACAGAGAAAAAGACGGAGAAAGAAAAAGGAGGACTTGGCTTACCTCGTATGAATAGTATCTTGCTAAAGATGATCAGTAACGACAAGCTAAAGTCAGTCATTGCAAACCGAAAAAAAMCCAGTGAAAAGACCTTAGTGAACTTGTATTAAGTACCTTGTTTACTGTATTCTTTGGATTTTACAAAAGTAGTTGCCAATACTGAACCTTATCAATAATTGATAAAGAATAAATAGTTAATGTGAAGTAATTAAGCATGTTGCTATGTCGACACGAGAGGCTGTTTGCATGATGACTTCGCATTCATTAGCAGAATGCTTTRCGTCTCTTCTTAAGTCTCTTTAGATTTTCATTTTCTCAYAACARTAGTAGGACAGWTTTTTTMRRAA